TGTTTCATTGTATGTTATCCATTCAAATGGGCCGTCTGGTGTGCCTCGTTGACCAAGACAAGGCTTGTCACCTAGAAATTATTTGCAAGAAGCAACTTGTCAGTAAAATATTCTTAGAAATGCACTGTTAAATGCCCTCAATCACATAATTATGTCATACAAAAACAGATAGAGCAAACACAGGAAAACCATGAAATAAAACCAAACTAAATACTAACAAAAAGCAGCTATTTAGAGACAAATTGTCAGTAGCAATGAACCAGAACGCAATCAAGATGAATTAAAAATGTTCCCATGTGGATTCATCTTCATTATGTTCTGGCTCATTTATACTGAAAATTTGTCTCTAAAAGCTGCTATTTGTTAGTATTTAGTTTGATTTTTTTTTAGTTTTTCTGAGTTTGCTCTAAAATGTTTATATCCTATGTCATAAAAGGTATAAAAGAAAACCAAAGATTATAATTTTACACTGTCAGAAGACTAAACAAGAGTGGTTTCAATATAGAGTGATCACACTTAAACCATGAAACTGTACAAACTAAACAGTGCTACTTAGTTGTATTTAGTAAATCGTACATGTGGTACGCAAAATAAATTGAATTGATACAAATGAAGCAATCAATACTGTCTTGCTTCTGGTCTCGCTTATAGTACAATTTAGTACTAAGTACTGCATGGTTTAAGTGCGATCACTCTTATGAAATAATTTGGAAACAAAATTTGGCAAACTAATGAGAAATTTTGTCTTCTATTGTTTGTGCAATTTTGTACAATTTGTTACAAAATGTTCCAGGTATATAGGATTGAATATAATACCCTAGAATGATACCATAGAAGCAATACTCCGATTTCGAGTTTTGGTTTGCTCTGTGTTAGCCTCAACACCAAGCAACATATTCTTTTGTTTCATTGATAGCCCGAGAAAACACATGAAATTTGAAAAGAAAGACAATAGAATTGATTTGAAATCTCACACTTTTAATTTCACAATTAGGAATATTTTGGCACAAATGAGGCTAACACAGAGCATTGGAGAATTCGAAACTGGATTATTGTGTTTAAAAATAAATATAAGACTCTGGCCTATGCATACTAGTGTAAGTCCAAACTGTCATACCTGATATTTTAGCTCCTCGGAGGAAAACCTCATGTGTTGTGGTGCAATCATCAAAAAGAGTTTCAAGTATTTCTTCGCACAGGGCACTACGCCGAGCGTAGTTGTCATTCTAAAAAAAACAAATTTATACAATCAAGATTTTAAATCGAAATCTTTTAAGATTAAAAAATAAACAATGTTTTTTATCAGTTTTCAGAGTTGCAAAACAATTGTCTCAAAAAAATAAACAATTTATTTTTGGTCAAAAAGAAATGAAATAGGCAAAATAAAGCATTCAGACTAATAACTACTTAATATTAAAA